TTCCCCTCCTTCTCCTCTTCCTCCTCCTTCCCCTCCTCCTCCCTTCCTCCCCCTCTTCTTTCTCCTTCTCCCCCTCCTCCTCTTCCTCCTCCCTTCCTCCCCCTCCTCCTCCTTCCTCCCCCTCCTCATCTTCCTCCTCCTCCTCCTAGTGAAGCGTCTTGGCCTGGCTTCCACTGATGACCCTGCCTATCCCTCATCAAACTCCCCACTCAGACAACTCCCCAGTCCTCCTCTTCCCCCACAAGGCCTGAGGCTCCCTGTGGCCCTCCACCCCACCTCTCCTAGGTACGGGCTGATGCGTGAGTGCTGGCACGCCGCACCCTCCCAGAGGCCCACCTTCAAGCAGCTGGTGGAGGCACTGGACAAGGTCCTGCTGGCCGTCTCTGAGGAGGTACATTCCCCTCCCACCCACCACCTCCCTCTGCCTGCTCCCCTCCAGGCCTCAAGGCCCAGCCTGACTGTGTGGACATGTGCCCTGCCCATCCTGGGTGCTGCAGCGGCTGACCAGCTATGTTCCCCACAGTACCTTGACCTCCGCCTGACCTTTGGACCCTACTCCCCCTCGGGTGGGGATGCCAGCAGCACCTGCTCCTCCAGTGATTCTGTCTTCAGCCACGACCCCCTGCCATTGGGATCCAGCTCCTTCCCCTTCCCTGGAGTGCAGACATGAGCTCAAGGCTGTGCGGGCACATAGGCTGGTGGCCTTGGGCCTTGGGGCTCAGCCACAGCCTGGTGCAGTGCTTGATCTTGGCAGCACGGGGCTCCTGACCCCAGGGTGCTGTCCCAGGTCTCTGGTTCTGCTTAGGGTAGATCCTTCCTTGGTCCTGGGGTTCATAAAGGCTTCCTGCTCTGGCCTTGGATTTCCAACCTACAGCTCAACTCACGTCTCAAGGCCTTGCCCTTGCCCTTGGAGCAGCAATGCCTGTGTCCTGATGGCCCGAATGTCAGAGCTCTGCTTGGCCTCTTGGACCTTGGTGCTCGGTCCCCATCTTGGGTTTGGCTGAGCCTGGCTGGAAGCTGCTATACTAAACCTCCTGCCTCCCAACGCCAGCAGGAGGTTCTGGGCCTCTGACCCCCTTTCCCCACACCTCCCCTTGCTGCTGCTTGCCCCAGCATCTTGACGGAACATTGGCCCCTGAACCCAGAGAAGCTGGAAGCCTGCCAAAAACAGGAGCAAATGGCCTTTTATAAATTATTTTTTTTAAATAAGCTCTGTGTGCCTGGGTCTTCCCTGAGCAACATGGAGGGGAGGGAGGAGGGATCCCCCCAGCAGAAAGTTCTGCCTGTGGGATGAGGACTGAGGGCCCTGGGCCAGGCTGTCGGCCCTGCCACCTCCAGCTGCCCTAGGAGCCAGCGTGGGCCTGCCTGGGTCCGTCTGTCCCACCAGCACCATCTTGTGTCTGCGACGCAAGAGCGAATGAGTGTTAATGGGCTGAGTCTGCATTGCACCATCCACAGTGCGACTCCTGTACCCTCTGCACATGCGTGTGCATGCACGTGTGCCCTGCAGCTGTCCCCAAGGGAGCTGGCAGCCCCCTCCCCCATCTGCTCAGCATTAACCAAGCTGACCGTTAACACAGCATGAAAACCTGAAACCCAGCCTCAGGCCATGGCCTGCTCCCACGCTCTGCAGGCTCAGGCTGGGGGCTCGTGGGGGCCGTGCCCGCCCCGCTCTGGCCAGTCTCCCAGGCAGCAGCTGGTTGCCGCCCGCCTGGGCTGCAGCTGTCCCTGCCTGCCTGGTCCTCCACTGGGGAGCCGTCACAGCCCTGTTCTCAGAGCTCCTCGGAGGGAGCAGCTTCTCAGGGCTCTGAGCCTGGAACCTTCCCTGGCCCTATCCTGGCATGTACTGCTACTCCCCAGGCCCTGAGCCTTGAGAGGGCCATGGGGGAACCCAGGCATGGTGTCTGACCCAGTGCTTGGTACCCTCCTGACCTTTTCCTACAGGCCTCAGGCTGGGACAGGACTACCCAACCAGGGCAGCCTTTATGGAGGCCACCTGGATTGCCCCCATGGGCTCACAGGGAGTGGTGGCTGAAAATAGATATGTGGTCAGCAGGGTCACATATAGGAATTTGAGGCTGGGTCCTCAACCTAGGGCCTCCTTGGAAGACTGAGCAGCAGCTCATGATTGTGTATCCCCACTCTGGGCTCCTCATACCTCTCACCGCAGGCTGACAGTGTCCCAAACAGAACTACTCATCTTAACCCCAAAACTGCACCTCCTACAGGGCAGGAATCAGGGAGTCACCTGACCATTGCCTTTTCCTCAAGAACCCTGTTCCAGGCTGGGCGTGGTAGCTCAAGCCTGTCCTCCCAGCACTTTTGGAGGCTGAGGCGAACAGATCACCTGAGGTCAGGAGTTCCAGACCAGCCTGGCCAACATGGTGAAACCCCGTCTCTACTAGAAATATAAAAATTAGCAGGGCATGGTGGTGTGTGCCTGTAGTCCCAGCTACTCAGGAGGCTAAGGCAGGAGATTCATTTGAACCCGGGAGCCAGAGGTTGCAGTGAGCCGAGATTGTGTCACTGCACCCTAGTCTGGGTGACAGAGCAAGGCTCAGTTTCAAAAAAAAAGAATCCTATTCCCTAATGCACTTCCAGGGTCCAGCTGTGACTCCTGAGGCCAGCACTGCCACCTCTCTGATGATCACCGTCTTTGCCCATGAGTAGGGTGCGCCTGTCCTGCCTGCATCCTGGAGCGTAGTGTTTAGGATGAAGCACAGCGCAGATGCACATAGGCTTGGGGGAGGGTGTGATGCGGATGGCCACGGATTGGGCTGCGGTGCTTCCCTGGGAGCTGGTGCCGGGGTCTTTGCGTCCCTGAGTGCCCGCTCCCAGCCCTAGATCTCCAGCCTCCCTTTTGCTCCCTCCCCTGCCAGTGGCTCCAGAGGCAGCTTCCAAAGGCAGCCTGGGCTTATGCTCCCTCCTGCACTCAAAGACCCCCACTAACTCCCAAAAGCCCCCAGACTCCCTCCCTTTCTTCCTCCCTTCCTTCCTTCCTCCCTCCCTTCCTTTCCTCCTTCCCTCCCTCCCCTCTCTCTTCCTTTCTCTCTTTGTCTCTCTTTTGTCTCTCTCTCTTTTTTTCTACTCCAAATGAAGGAACATGAATCTTTCTTTCTTTCTTCTCTTTCTTTCTCTCTCTCCCTGTCCTTCCTTCCTTTCTTTCTTTCTCTCTTTCCCTTTCCTTCCTTCCTTCTCTTTTCTTTCTCTCTCTCTCTCTCTCTCTCTCAATCTCTTTTTCTCTTTCTTTCTTTCGATTACCCAGACTGGAGTGCAATGACGCCGTGATCACGGCTCACTGCTGCCTCAAACTCCTGGACTCAAGCAATCCTCCCACCTCAGCCTGCCAAGTGACTAGGACTACAGGTGTATGCCACCACACATGGATAATTGTTTTTTATTTTTTGTAGAGATAGGGTTTTGCTATGTTGTCTCAAACTCCTGGCCTCCAGCAATCCTCCTTGGCCTCCAAAGTTCCCAAGCCCCAAACATTCTGACTGAGCCCCACTCTTCAATGTAGAGTCTCCCATTAGGAGACTATCTATATAGGGTCTATACATATAGGGTCACTGTTCATTGACTGTGTCTACCTGTCCAGCCAATCACAGGAGAAGCAGATCCCTTGGACCTGACCTTGGGAAGGGGAGGATTGGGAGATTAGAATCATGTGTGAGGACACTATTCTAAGGGGATGTGGAACAACAGCCCCATTTTCCATGTTCCCACCGGGCCCCTGCTGCAGTGCCAGGCTCAACCAGCACACTCTCCCCTGCCACAGCCTTGCTGGATAAAGAGTATGCTTTCCTTTTAATTGTGGAAAAACTGAGGTCCAGGGTCACAAGAATGGGGCTCCAGGAAGGAGCTAGGCTGAACCCCAGGTTTCCAGAAGGTCATGTGCACATTGGAGACCAGACCCGAGTCACTCAGAGTGACAGGGCCAGCTGCTACCTGGTTGGTCCTGAGGGCCTGGAGGGGCTCAGCTGCCCACCCTGAACCCCCTCCCTGCCAGCGTCCTTGGCAGGCACATGCTTACTGGGGGACATTGTACATTCCTGATGTCCCATGTCAGAATGTCACAGATACTGCTAATTCCCCAATGCAAGCTGTAATGCTGCAGCTCACCTCTTGCATGGCAGCAGCTGGGGCCTGGCCTCCCTGGTCTGCTTGAATTCTAGCCAGTGACAGGGGCCCATAGAAAAAGCACTGAGGCCAGGCACAGTGGCTCACCCCTGCAATCCCAGCATTTTGGGAGGCTGAGGCAGGAGGATCATCTGAGGTCACAAGTTCGAGACAGGCTGGCCAAACATGGTGAAACCCTGACTCTACTGAATATACAAAAATTAGCCAGGCATGATGGTGGGCGCCTGTAGTCCTAGCTACTCGGGTGGCTGAGGCAGGAGAATCACTTGAACCCGGCAGGCAGAGGTTGCAGTAGGCCGAGATCGTGCCATTACACTCCAGCCTGGGCAACAGAGTGAGACTCTGTCTCAAAAAAAAAAAAAAAAAAAAAAAAGGCACTGAGCCCACCTCCAGACTCTGCCTCTTACTGGCTGTGAGCATAAGGCAGGGCTCTGGTGGCAGCAAGATGGTGAATCTGACTTGGGAAGCCCTAGCCAAGGGATGGGAGGCTGCTGGCTGGGGAATGAGCACCTGGGAGGGATGGGGAGGCACACGGCATGGGAGGGGAGGTGCTGTAAGGATGAGTATCCTCCATTTGAAATGCTTGGGACCAGAAGTGTTTCAGATTTCAGATTTTTTCAGAGTTTGTCATATTTGCATGTACATAATGAGATGTCTTAGAGATGGGACCTAAGTCTAAATGCAAAATTCGTGTTTCACATACAAAATGTTTCTAATTCAAAATTTCACATTTCAAATTCAAAATTTATGTTTCACACACTTTGTATACATAGCCTAAAGGTAATTTTATACAATATTTTAAATAATTTTGAGCATGAAAAAAACTCTGTGTACACTGAACCATCAGAAAGCAAAGTAGAGGGCCTAACATGGCGGCTCACACCTGTAATCCCAGCACTTTGGGAGGCCAAAGTGGATGAATCACCTGGGCTCAGGAGTTCAAGACCAGCCTGGGCAAATTGGTGAAACCTCATCTCTACAAAAAATACAAAAACTAGGCCGGGCGCGGTAGCTCACGCCTATAATCCCGGCACTTTGGGAGGCCGAGGCGGGTGGATCACGAGGTCAAGAGATCGAGACCATCCTGGTCAACAAGGTGAAACCCCGTCTCTACTAAAAATACAAAAATTAGCTGGGCATGATGGTGCGTGCATGTAGTCCCAGCTACTCGGGAGGCTGAGGCAGGAGAATTG